ATTTTTTTTTTTTTTTTTTTTTTTTGTTTGAGGTGGCTCTCCTCACAAGTAAATTACACTTTTATTTTCATTTAAATTTAAATGTGAGAAAGAAAAATAATAATAATGAAATTAAAAGATCTCTACTTTATTCGTGGAGCCAGTATTTTTATTTTTTTTTATTGGAAAGAAAACAGGAGTGGACGAAGAACAAAAATAAAATTTAAAAAGAGTAATTTTTTTCTAAAAGCTAAAAAATAAATAAATGAAAATATTACAAATTGAGATTTTATTTATTTATTTATTTATTGGAGGTAGTTAGAGAATTCTGGAGAATTTATATTTGTAATTATTAGGAGATAATTATTGACTCGGTTATTACTAGAAGCAACCACAATAAATACCTTTTCTATTTGACTTACCCACTCCTAATAATTTTCAAACAAAAACAGTAGCACTATCGTTAGGTAATTAATTACTCAATAATATTTTAACAATTTACTTGTTGAAAAAGAAACTAAATAAATAAAATGAGTAAATCAACCAACATATTATTGAATGAATATTATTATCAAAGGGTATTTTTGGATTTTTACCTATCATATTTGGCTAGTAATAACCCAATCACGAATATGCATATAGTTTAATGGTAATTGATATAAACTGTTCTTGAGAATGATAAAAAGAAGCTGAGAACAAGGAGGTGAATTGTTACCGGAAACCATGTCAATAATCATTTGGAGCAGGGTATTGTGGGTTGAGCATGTTTTTGTCTTGAAATCACAATTTTGATTAAAGAAGAGACCATCCGTAAATTTGGGGAAAATTAAACACATTGTAATCAAAATTCATGAAGATCGGACTCAAAAACATTAATGAGTATCAGCCTGGCGTTCGTAGCCAACAACGTAAGTTCATACCTTGTGTTACCTAACTCTTCTTAATATGTGGTTCATATCAAATTCTCCACGTTCTTGTTCATCCATTTTAAAATCTTCAAGGAATCCTTTAATTTCTAACCTCCAAAAATCATGGAGTTCCAATTACCCTCCTCCATCATCGTGCTTCTTCATTTGTTTTTCATTACTTCCTGTTATTATCTGTGGCGAAAGTGGCAGCAGCACAAATTGGCAGACCGGAAGCAGGCGCCTTCACCGCCGGGAGCCTGGCCCATAATCGGCCACCTCCATCTTCTCCACAATGCAAAGCTCCCCCATCATGCTCTTGGAGCCATGGCCGACAAATATGGGCCCATCTTCAGTCTCCAGCTCGGCTCCCGCTCGGCTCTAGTGGTCAGCAGCTGGGAAATGGCCAAGGAAAGCATGTGCGTTAACGACGCCGCCGCCGCCTCCCGCCCTGGTGTCTCCGGCACAAAATATTTCTCTTACGACTTTGCAGCCTTCGGCTTGGCTCCTTACAGTCCTTACTGGCGCGAGATTCGTAAAGTCACTCACATGGAGCTCCTCTCTAATCCACGCGTTTACAAGGTTTTAAATATATTTTTTACTTATAAATTCATAATCGGAATTGACCTACTAATATTCTGAAACACAGGTTGCGAGCACTATGCTCGCTGAGATCAACACATCGCTGACAGAGCTGCACGAAACATGGGGTGCCCAAAAGGATGAATCGGGGCAGGTTGCTGTAGAAATGAAGCGTTGGTTTGGGGATGTGATAGTGAATATGCTTCTTAAGATCATCATCGGGAAACGATGTGTGGGTCCGAACGCCGAGGGCGGTGAAAAGGAAGCCAAAGATATCCAATTGGCAATTAGGGACTCGTTCCATTTGATGGGTCAAGGGTTGTTGCAAGACTATATTCCACTGATCGGACGGCTCGGATTTAATGGGCAGGTGCCGGTGATGGAGAATATAGCCAAACGATTCGACATGGTTCTAAGCCAATGGCTGGAAGAACACAAGCGTAGAAGATCAGCTTCTTCTGGTGAAAAAGACAGAGATTTTATGGACGCTCTCATTTCTTTACATAATGGCAAGGGGATTGAAGGTTACTACGATGGTGATACCATTACCAAGGCCACAACCCTGGTGGGTAACTAAATTTTATTATGTATTGTTATGAATCACGACCATCTGAAATTTGTCCACTTTTTTGTTTTGAATTTTGGATTTACTTATAAATTTATGTTCATTCTTTAAATTGATACGATAAATTTGTATGTGCAGAATATGATTGCAGGTGGAACTGAAAGCACGACAGTGACTCTAACATGGGCGATGTCGTTGCTACTAAACAATCCACATGTCCTGGAAAAGGCGTGGCAGGAGCTGGACGCGGTGGTCGGGAGAGAGAGGAGGGTGACGGAGGACGACATAAGCAAGCTTGTTTATTTACAAGCCATAATTAAGGAGACGATGCGATTGTACCCTGCAGGGCCTCTGTTGGGGCCTCGTGAGTTCCACAAGGACTGCGTTGTGGGTGGCTACTTTGTTCCCAAAGGCACCCAGTTGATCCCAAACATTTGGAAGATCCAAACCGACCCACGGGTTTGGTGTGAGCCGTTTGAGTTCAAGCCGGAGCGGTTTTTGACGACCCATAAGGATGTTGATTTGAAGGGGAATCATTTTGAGTTGATTCCGTTTGGGAGTGGGCGGAGAGGGTGCCCGGCAGCGGCGTTTGGGCTTCAAATGATGCATTTCACTTTGGCTGGGTTTTTACAGTGCTTTGATGTCAAAAACCCCACTAAGGACCCTATTGATATGTCGGAGAATTTCGGAATGGCCAATGAGAAGGTGGTTCCTCTCCATGTTTTGGTCACCTCACGGTTACCCTCCCATCTTCACGCTTTGAATTAATGAATCAATCATTGTGAACTTTTATTTCGAAGCTAAGCTGAAATCAAATATGTGCTAAAAGATTAGCATAAATGTGTAGTAGATGCCAATTATTGGGCATGTTAAAGGCTAAAAGATAAGTTTTATGATGCAACCGAGATGAAGACGATGCATAGTCTATCACACCAAGAAAACTAGATAAGGTTGTAAAGCTAACGTGTAAACAATACTTGAAGTGATAATAATAGCTAATAGTGTTAAAACCAAGCTTAACAAGGACAAATGGGGTTATATGTAAAACTAGATAAGGTTGTTCACTTTGGCCCTATCAGTCTCACAGTTTTAAAAA